GCCTCGCACCGAGGACCTATCCACGTCATCATTTACCCAGAATGTTTTGTGTGGAAATAAAATGGCTCTGTCCGTCGTAAAATATATTTATAAAAGTTTACAAAACTGAACAGCCTACAGTGTTTTTACAGTCTTTATTTTACAGTAAAAATAAATGTTTTTTAAATAAAGTCTAATGTTACAGCTAATCGGGGATCCCTTTAACAACTTAAAGTTAGTTTCTTTGACAACTTCCAACAAAACCATTCAGCACTCAGCATCCTCACTGTATTTACACAGAAAATGTGTTTAGTTTAGTTTTATTTTGAGATTTTTGAGTTCAGTATATTCTTTGTTAGTTCCTCCCTGTCATTGGCCACAGTTTCTTCAGTCAGCCTTGCCTTCTGTTGTCTGTCACACCTGTGTCTCATCTGCAATCAGCTCACCTGTCTCTACTCAGTAATCAGCCCTCCCAGAGTATTTTGTCTTCACTATTTTCATTGTTTCGTCATGATCCTGGTTTCTTGTTGTTATTTCTTTGTACCTCCAGTATTTTTACATCTCTGTCTGTAAAAATGTCAGTTCTTTTAATAGGTTTCGCAGTGTTTTAGCCTGTTCATTACCACGTTACACTCTGAAACTGGAAAGAAAGAACCAAAGTGATCAGCTGACATACTATCCTCTCCSGAGTGTCCAATCTGAGACTCCGGTGGTGGTCCTGTCCCAACTGCGTTCACGGCCTGGACTTTAATCTCAAAGGGTGTGTAGGTTCCTGCATTGTTTATTTGAAAAGGTGGAGACTTTACAGTGGTAACGTTCCACTCTTTCCTTTTCTCCTGAGCCTCCCGCCAGTACACTTTGTAATGAAAGTCTGGACCATTTTGCAAGCGGTTTTCCATTTCCTGAAATGGTGTGAAAAAATAAACATATCTGTATAAACTTGGATGGGGTAAAATAATGCATACAGACAGATGTACACAGACCAAATAACTTACATCCCATGTGATAATCAGAGTATCTGGGTCTGTTGAGTTGCTGCGTACACCAGTGGGGTTTTCATAAGGAACTGTACAAAAATAGCAAAAACAAAGCATATGAAAGTAAGTTTAATTAAAACACCAAAATGTGTKAATTCTGTCACTCCAACATGAAAAGTTAATCAGCACTCTGGATATTTAAACTGTTTCACACAAACACTGCAATCACAAAATATAAAAATATTCCAGAGGGGGAACGCAGTAAGCTAATGCTTCTAACAAAAACCCCGAGCATTTTCAACCCAGAATGGGTTTGAGATTTGTGAAAATTGTTTTTAATCAATAATTACAACACTGCAAACAGACTATTCTTCATACCTGTCACTGAATGTCTGTAGCATTAGCTAACAGAGTGTTTCATGAAGCACTGGATGATTAAAAAACTCCCAGGAAGTAATGGTTGGATGTCTCACACTGATTAACTTTTGAAAACAACCAAATAAGATTATTGCCACAGCCAACTGACCTTTGAAAACATAAAAAATGTGCCACCCCACATGGCCATAAATTAAAAAATACTGGTGGGATCATTGTCTCCCTGTGTTTTTGTTAATGAATTTTTTTACTGGTTCAATATGTATCAAGAACGGAGTGTGTCCAAACTGTACTCGTCAATGTTTGAATGTAAAATGACTCATAAATGTTGGCAATGATACAAGACAAACCATGGTAGATTTTTAGTAGTGAATGATGTGATTGTTTTTATTATAGATAATAAAATATACAAAAAATTCTTGTCCAAAACACTGGAAAGTTGTGTATTTTGGCAACTATGATGGTATTACAAAACAAAGCAAATGGAATTCTGTTTTGTTTTTAATGATGCTTTGCTTCCTGTCTATAAAGCTTACACAAGTCAAAACTGGAGAACGCTTCATTGGATGGTGGGCTGCACGCCAGAACATGTTCGTATTCTTCTAAATTTCTCTTGTGTTCGTACGAAGGGTTCGTACGAACATGTCACGTCAGATT